ACGACGACGACGACGACGACGACGACGACGACGACGACGACGACGACGACGACGACGACGACGACGACGACGACGACGACACAAAGGCAAACATGAACAAATCAATAAAAATGCAAATATCATTCAAAGCACATGTTGAGCACCCTCTCTCTCTCCATCTCTTTCGCTCTCCTTCACTCGCACCGTGTTGCTATGACTGCGAAGCAAACGGTGTGTGTGTGTGTGTAGACTCAATGGCCAGCAGTCGACGTAATATTTGAATGCAACGCGCAAGATCGCGTTCTGGAATTTTAATGCGAGCATGACCATTAGACTAACTTGACGGAAACATAGTCGTTCGGTGTGCCAAATGTGCGATTGATTTTTGCTAACCAAAGTGGCATTGAATTGGAGATGTCATCAAAATCGTGACTCATCACGAGTTTTGAGCTATGTGAATGTAATTTCAGAATGATTTTGATTTTAAGTGCAGTTTCCATGCAGTTTTCGTTCGAAACAACCGAATTAATTGCTTCGATTTCATGTACAGTCGAATATAATTGATCGTACATATGCAACGTGCAAAAATCAATACAAATCCGAAAATCGTTTTCCACAAAATTTCCACGAAAATATGATCAAAAAGCATAATTTTGTTCTAACATTGAGACAATATTGAATGCCTGTTGAATATATTTCACCAGATCGCTTCCACACGTTTCAACAAATGTATGCATATCCATTTGGAGGCATGCACTATATATCCTGTTGCCAAAATGGAACACCCAACGAAAATAAATCCAGTAAATCGTATCGATTGTCAACTAATTCAATCATTTCATATTTATCGACATAATGTTTCACCTGTTTTCGTTGACGAGTCTCTGATTCTGAATGATCGTTCTGTCACTGAGAATAAAATCAGTGGAAAAAACAACTTCAGCCATTCGATTAGGTGCTGGTTGTTGTGTGTATGTGTTTTGAGTTTTTTGTACGTCAAATCATCAGGCATTTAGTCTCTTTTTTTCCCCATTTCATTCTTTCCAACGTGTCCAATGTTATTGAACACACGTTCAATCGATTGTACCACACACTGTAATATATCACACACGGATGGATAAAGAGCACACATAAACGAAACCGATTAACCTTTAGTCATTGCAATGATTTATTTTATTCAATCATCTTGATTACATGCATTTCAATCTGGTATTGTTATTCTTACTGGATACGCGCTTGCCATTCCTTTTCTCTCTCTCTCTCTCTCTCTCTCTCTCTCTCTCTCTCTTTCGTCCGTCGCCGTTGTCGTTGGAATGAATCCATGTCGATCGCGCACACGCTTTGTATGCATATACTCCGTAAGTATTTCGGTGTGGTTTTGTTGTGTGCTTCGTTTCTCCTGTCTTTGTTTCGTTTTGCATTTTTATTGCATTATTATAATCGTGTGGTAGAAATAACGACGAAACATCGCAATACAGAACAAAGATCGCGAACGAACAGAAAAAAAAATGAAAACACAGAATTGTATTGTGTAAACATATGAAAACGAGCACAAAATCAAAATGATAAATAGAGGATTCTATCTCTCTGTCTCTCTCTCAATCGAAAATATGCACACACAACAACAACCGAAACGAAAATTACAGCAGAATTCAACGGCAAAAACCAGCACACAAGTGCATTTGCATACACAACTAACTATATGTAGACATGGCCTCGAACTGACCGAGCCATTACACATTTTTTTTTTGCGAAGAGCATTTTGCTGTTACATACACATCTTTTGAACGCAAACAAAAGTCTGTTCATTGAATACTAAAATAACAATGAGAAAAATACTGATCGACGCACACACACCACATTGAATTGAATCACGTGTATCGGTTTTTTTTTGCTATGAAATTGATTCTTCGAAAGATTTAACAGCAAAATCCGAATGATCCACATTCTTTGAGGATTTAATGATTTTCTTTATTGATTTTTCTACCGGATTATTCTTTGACGAATTTGATCATTTGAATGCAGTTAGAAATTTTAAATTGGAATTTCCATTGAAGCCTTCGCTTGTCTGGAATTCGACTAAAGAAAACTATTCTGCATTACCAATAATTTTGCGAAGAGCCATTGTTTCAATTGAATTATGCGAATCATCTTAAGAGCGGCCAAAATAAACCATTTTTTGCATATGTTTCTTCTCCTAAATTCATTCAATATTCTTTCTATTTTCAGGTAACGCAAATATTCTACGGATTTGGAATTTGTTTACTCATCAATGTTAAGTCCTCAATTTTTTGGTATGCACTTTTTTCTACTTCTTCTTCAAATAATTGATTTGTAAAGTTTAAGAGAAGAAAAAAAAAACGGTTTGAAATCGCTTCACTTATTGTCGATCACAAACACAACACACTACAAACTGTGAAATTGGTAGTGTGTGGTCTAATTAGATACGAATCAACACATTAAAACTCATAAATAATGACCGATCAAAATGAAGCGATAGAATCGCGCGGTGCGTTTGCACACATTACACAAACACCGATAGGGTCTTTTGGAATATGATGAAGAGAACCCGCTCTGAAGATGAAGAATGTTGAAAAGAGTGTTATGTGTTATGAGCAAAAAGAATAGATCGATGATTGACATGAGAATGACGTCATGTGTTTCCCCCTATTTTACATTACGCGCATATTAGTTCAAGAACAATTTGACAATATTCATTCATTTTCGAAGCACCATTGAGTGTAATGCGAACGCGCGCATGAATGAAGAGAGAGAGAGAGAGAGAGAGAGAGAGAGAGAGGGGAGAGAGAGAGAGAGAAAAAGAGCCCATAAACGCATGTGAATTCTTTTCATATGTCATAATCATTGTGCGCGATCTCTATCCAAAGATGCTTTGAATTGAGACAGACGGTGTGTTGTTATTGCTTATTGTATCGATTTTATTCGGTTGTGGTTGAATTTTACACACAAGAAAAACACTTGTTCGAAGAAAATACTTCGCGTCACTGCATGTGAAGTAAACAACCCACCAAGCAAATCAAAGTTCAACACACGCAATTAAAATTTATTTGTCTCAGCCATTGGGTCGCGCATAGTCGACCGTGCTCGCGCGCACGACAGACACTCTTGTGCGCCAAATGGATCGGTCCGGTCCGTTCGAATAGAACGAGCAGGAAGAATAAGACGAATAGGGAAAAATGATTTTTTGATCGAAATCTGTATCAAATTAAAATCGGTATGTGTATTGTCTATCAATATTCAAGCCTTTGTACCATCGAGCGCGCCCGAGTTTCTCTCTCTCTCTCTCTCTCTCTCTCTCTCTCTCGTTCGTTTTCTATATAGCGGCGTTTCGTTGCCAGGTCAAGAGGAATTTGTGTTAAACAAACGCAACACTGTTTTTTCCCTCCTTCTTCTTCTTCTTCTTCATCGTCTTTTCGAACACAATGAATAGATAATTTGATTATGATTTGTTATTTTTTTCTGCTCAATTTTTGAGTTATTGTGTTGTTTGTTTGGTTGGTTGGGAATGTGTGCATTCAGAGCAGGCGGTATGTTTTCTTTTATTCATCCATCCAACCGACAACTATGAAATCGACCGTAACTGCGGGAAATTTTCAATCAAAAAACGTCAAAAATCAACGCGTCTTCTTTCTCTCTTGTTGAATTCATTTTTATTTGCCGCTATAAATACTTCTTCGCTTTATGCCAGGCTGCCATTGTCAGCTCACTCGAATTCGCCGACTTTTCAGCGGTCGAATTGTTTCGATCGAATCAACCATTTATTATTGCTTGATTCGTCTCTCATTGAGAAATTCTATTTCCATGTTCCATTTGAACAAAACGAAATTATGCGCTCTTGTGTTCGACTCAATCGGATTTGCTGTATTAAAATGAAATAATTTCCAGTGATTAGCTGTTACCATTGTGCGCAAAACACACATAACATGATCAAAAGTCAACGAATTTTTCGTATCAACATATTGATGAGTTCAACATTTTCCTTCTACAAGTTAAGAGACCCTGAGCTTTTGTGAAATTACCGTTTTCGCGGTCTATTCAAAAGCATCATGAAAAAAACGTCTCGAAAATAAGATCATTTTCATCAGCGATACATTTTGGTAGACATTTTTTTTTGTTGCTCGTTTCACAATCAGACGACAATGTTTGAAATGAAAGCAAACACACAGCATACATAAATTCCAATCGATATCGATATATAAAATCAGCATTGAACAAACAAACGTACTTTCCACGTACGTTTTGCACGCATGAATTGCATTGCGAGTTAGAAAATAGTGGTTTGGTTGCGAATTGCCGGTTGGGAAAAAAATGTGTTATTGTTAAAGCGTCGTTTCTATTTCTTTCGCCTTCTCGTTTTACTGTTATTGTTCTAATTATGAGAAAAGGCGAATACGGGTGTCAGCCAGCCAGCCGATACGAAAGGCGGCGAAACCAATTTCCAGATCACACAGTGCATTTGCTGGCATTGGCAGACCGATTCACATATGAGCGTGCGCGCATCGAAAGACATTTATGTGAGCGCGTAGAAAATGATGTTGTGCCGATTAGAGCAGGCACAAAACAAAAGCGAAAAATTTAAATCAAATGAAAAAAAGACGAGGAAAAAAAATGAACGTACTACCGCCAAGCATGTGGCTTCAGAAGTGGAAAAATGGATACAAATAAAAAATTTCAGCAGAAAAGATGCGCGTATTTCTCTACTGAACAGAGATGAGAGGAGGAATGAAACAAGCAGCAACATATTGTAAGGTGATTGGAATCGTGCCACGATTATTTCCTTCTTGATTTTAGTGCCGTGTCTCCGGTTTCAAATATCAGTTATTTGTGATGCATTTTTCCTTCCCTCGCTCTCTCTCGCTCTCTCTCTCTCTCTCCCTCTCACTCACTCTTCTCTATCTGCAACGCATTTTCACGTCGAAAGACTTTAGGGTCGCCACCATGTGTATGTTTTTATTTTATTTTCAATGGAAAAAATTGTGGCAAATCAACAACGCATCTATTTTGTACTCATCCATTTCGAATTGTGTATCATGGCTTTTTTTGTCGTTCAAAATGCATGGAATTTTCTTTGAAATTTCCAACCAAAATCTGTTGCTCTAAAGTTTTCTTCCGTGTAAATAGTTTTGTGAATCAGCCGGCGACGGAGAAAAAAGAGCACTCACTACCAGCAGCTTAAAAATACAATACATATTCTGCCACCGTTCATCGGATATTTGTTTCTCACTCTCGATCGATCGTTTGCGCTCTCTCTCTCGCTCTCTTTCTCTCTTTGTCTCCTTGCATCATAAAAATTTCGAGATGCATTTTTAGTGCTTGTGCTTTTGGTTTATCTCGGCACACATTGCATAGCTTACTGTTCGCTCGGTTGGTGGATTTAGTGGATTGGGGCATCAGCTATATTGCTATTTGTACGTGTATGTGTACACTCTTTTTTTTCGTTGTCGTTATTGTTGTTGTTGATTTTATTAGCTTCATCCAAAAGTCTCACCTATTGCCAGATTCCCAAGTGTGATGATACCGAGTGCGATTAAATTGGCATTTTGTGCAATTGAAACGTATAGCCAATGTGCACATGGCAGAAGTGAGGAACAAAAATGTACACCAACGAAACAGACATTGCTACATGCAACAGCGATTTAAACAATAACTGCAATCGCATACAGCACCGGAAACAGTTTGCACTTAGACGAGCGTGCACAATGCACATGCACTCTGATTTTTTTTCTTCAGTTTTTTTCTTCTGCTTCTCTCATATGCCATATCAAAATGGAACTGCTTCTTTGTTGTTTAGAGGCCTAATGCAAATGTCTCATAGCGGAGAGAAAGGAAGACAAAAAAAAACTAATTGAACAAATCGATAAAGTTCATTCGTTACGATCGCTGTTCGCTCCATTTTCAAAGAAGGAAACCATATCTTGTGTGCGCGTGCGCGCACAACGTGAACTCTTTCAAGGCAAAAAGTTTGCTGTTGAAAAAGATGGACCATTTTTAATTGGACGAAAAAGAAAGTCCATTGCAAAAAATTTTGCTTTGCATAAACTCCGCAAACAACAAGCGACGAAAAAGCCAAATAAGTTGGTATGAGACTGAAAACGGCTGAGAACGCAAAGAACCAATTTTATGGAACAACATCGAAAGATACCAACAAGAAGTCTAATAATTTATGTCAAGATTAAATTTATGATGGAAGTTATACATCTATGATGCGGTCATAGCCAAGAAGCAAACGATCGAGCAATGTGGTGACTGTGTCTGTCGCTTGGTTGCTATTCTTCTTCTTCTTTTTTTTCGTTAAATCCACGACCACAAATCGATTTGGTCATAAAATCTAAAAACTCGTACTTAGCTACTGTTTATGTTTTAAATTTGCGGTATTTTTTCCATAATTTTGCCCTGTTTCATCTTATCCAGAACACAACAACACACACTCACCATTTTTTTTTATTGCACCACCAGATATTATTATTCATTTGTGTGTGTGTGTATGCCTCGGACTGGAGAGCAAATAAGGAAACATTTTTAAAGCACAGAAAAATGATTTATCTCTATGAGGAGGATGGAAATGAACTGAACGATTACACAAAGATGATATTTTGTCGAAAGCGCGATAGCATATAGAAAACCGCATCGGCCATCGTTGCCGCCGCCGACGACGAAGACAGTTTCTCAAACATGATCATTGCCATTGCACCGAGCGAATGAACGAGTACACACACCGTGCAGACCATAATGATTCCACAAACAAATTGAATGCTTTGCACAAAAGGCGGTTAAGTACTTGCAACAAAGAAATTCAATTTAAAAATCGCATTTATCATATTTTTTTTTTTTGGTTGGAAAAACGAACGAACGAAAAATTGCGAACATATTTGGATTACACTTGCGCGTGGTAATTACATTTTTCTGTGTATGATTTAGCTACTCGTCATTAAGATATTGGAAGAGATTTCACTTAAACGTGCAACGACTAATAAATCAGGCGATGCTTCTTGTGATACCCCCATTATGTATTTGGTTCAAAAACTACGCTCAACTTTTCTCTCGTGCTGCAAAGTCACGAACGCCAACGATGACGACAACAACGACCACTGATGAGCACTTGAAACGAAAGAGAAATAAAAAAAAAATGAACACACACATATTCGTCTGTGGCAACAAAAAAAAAGTTTGCAAACGAAAACTGATTATTTGGAAATGTTTTTCATTTTCCCTCTATCATCAATATGTCTATAAACTATTTACATGACGTCAAATCATATCGCATCAACAAAAT